TATCAGATGTATAAATGAAGTTAATTAAATTCTTATGTATATTCTTGCTATTTTATAAATTAGACATCGATGACAGAAAGGAATGTACATATGTATGTAACACTAGACTTTATTCATTACTACGATAATGAACCGGAACGTTGTGACATAAATACGATAATTGGCGCATTGAATTTTATTAAACTAAGTACACAAAGAATATCTACGTCAAAAGTAGCCAGATAGAAATAAAAATAAAAGCAAGGCAGCGGCGCGAAGTGTCATGCTCTTCCATGCAACGGGTAGAATACCCGGAAGCACAAAAGGCTGAAATAAAAAAAAATACTGTTCAAAGCGACGAGGATCGATTCGCTCTTCCATAGTTGAGTTGTCCGAATAATCTCGCAAGGTTAATTCTCCCGTTACACATTCATCTCCAGTGAGGATCGATCCTAAATGCCTAATCGCACGCACCGAATTCCGACTCCTTCTGATTAGGGAATCCGTGCGAGCCGGGGGATGCACTGCAAAGAGGATTGCACGAAGCGGAAAATGATCGGTCAGACACGGAACGCGAAATGCTTTCAAATTCGTTGCTTACCGATTTACGGTTTATTTCAACCGGTTAATCTGTACCTCTGATGAATTATTTATGTTAATTAAAATTCCCGACACGTACCCGTATGAATTACAAATGCAATCTTTATTTAAATTACTCTGTGAAAATAATAATGTTCTGGCATTGTTTTATGGTAGGTCGAAGAACAGTGTAAGCTGGATAAGCACGAGTTTATGTTTACGACGAACGTTGCTGAGAACGTTTGCGGTAGCTTTTTAGGAAATATTATACGACGTCGGATAATAAAACTTAGTTATCGAAGACGAATAAGGATCAAAGCGAAGTTCCACTTTCAGAGGCGGAGACGTGACGGAGTGTCGCGAAAAGTTTAATGAAAGATCGTCCAAACACGGGATAGAAACTTTCTCTCCCTAAAAAAAAAAGTCTATACGTTCCGGGAAAGTTCATTCGGAATCGAACAGGGTAAAATAAAAAATTCATTCCTGACTCTTTTACTAGAGCCGAACGTTTTAATTAAAAAAAAGAAAAAACCACCGTGTTTGACGTTAGGTATTGTTTATATTAGAGCATAAAACATTTAACAAATAGACCATTTCTAGAAGACGATCGTGCCAAATAAAGGATCGTATGAATTTTCACTTGATTTAACGTTAAAATTAATAATACTTCTTAACCAATTTGGAACGTCTACAAGCACATACGTGGCTCGTTGAAAAGCGTGATAAGCCAATAGGATTCTGTGGTTCCAAACAGACGTTCCTTGGAAATCATGTAACAACGAGAATTGCGAGTGGAGCAGCGACAATGCCGATGTCAAACGACGACGTCGCGAGAGTTCCGCGACTATACCCAGGCAACAATAAATAGATTACACGGGGTAGAAGCACAGAGACGAGCGTGGGGAGTGTGTAGCGTGGGGTTCGAAACGTTTTACATACCGTTGAGCATATTTGTACAGCTGGTGCGTGTATCATTCCAGCGGCAATCAACAGAAGTGCATCGCATTAATGAACAAACGCACTAGTTAATAACAGTTATCGCTGCTATTCAGATATTGCCTCGTTGCTCGCGAAGACCAGCCCGCGTTTCTATCCGCTGCTACGAAACTTCCCTCTATCTCCTAACGAGTCGAAACTATACATACAAGCGTTGCCAAGGATTTCGGTACCGAGCGAAGAATAATTGCTGGTGATGCGCAAATCCAACAATTTATTTAATAGCCCGTACGTTTGATGGAAAAGAGTAATTGTATTCGCTCTATTAAGGATGTATAGGCTATATACTTAAACAATGCTAGCATGTTGAATTTGTTGTTATAGATTCCTATTACTATTAACACT